GCCCAAGGACACTTTGACATGCAGCCCGGGGGAGCCGGGATTGTACCGCCGACCTCCCAATTAACGGCCAACCCGCTCCACCTCCTGAGCCACAGCCGCCCCAGGTGGTGTAGCTATTATGGATCTTAAATATTTCCTGTGTCTGTTTTACTTTCTCAGTCAATCCCAAGACAGTTTGAACTTATAGCCTTAGATAGTAAGGTTGCAAATGCTCCATTTACAATTATTGTTTGCTACAGGCTCTGCTGTTAATGAAACATTGTCGACTCTAACTGAAGTGTTGTCTAAATTTAATAATTCAGAAATTATTTTATTTGCTGATTTAAATTGGGATTGGCTCAGTGACAAATCGGAGAATTTCAAGCTGGCCTGTAATTCTCTGAACTTAGTACAATTTATTGACAGCCCCTACAGACTCAATCCATCTAAGCTTAATAGTGACACCCTGTTAGATGTCATTCTCCCCAACAGGGCTCATAAGTACACAGCAATAGGTGTATTTGCAAATGAAATGAGCGACCATTATGTAATACGATGTGTGAGAAACACCAAAATACCTAAACTTATGGGTCTCACTGTTTCAAGACGCTATTTTAAACACTTTTCAGAGCAGGCCTTTTTATCTGACTTTGCAAGACTAAATTGGGATTGTGTTGCATTGATTCCTACTGTAGATGAAGCTTTGAACAGTTTCTATCGATTACAAATAAATATGCCCCTTTTAAAAAGCTCAGAATAAAGAACAGAGATAATCCTTGGTTTTCTCAGGAACTAGCCCAGTTAATTCAATCAAGAAATGATTAATGATCAAAAAAGGAGGACCAAAAGTAATGTAGACTGGCAACGCTTCAGAACTTTGAGAAAGCAATGTACTTCTGCCATTCGGACCTCTAAATCAAATTATTACCTTACCTCAACTACTGATAATTTTAACGATCCATCCAAATTCTGGAAAACAAAGTATTACACAATAAAAATGCTTCAGACTTTCCTCAGCAACTGAATATTGGAAATGTAACTATCACAGATAAAAGTGATATATTAAATGCCTTCAACGGTCATTTTGAGAAGGCAGGTCATTAATTTGATCAGCAGCTTCCATCAATTTCAGTTGATCCTTCAACATGTTTTTTGCTACCTAGTACATCCTCAACCTCTGCATTCCCATTTGATTTTGAAGTCATACAAGTTCAAGATGTTCTGCAGTCACTGAATTCAATAGACCCCAAAAAGGCGCCCAGACCTGATAGTCTGGATCCATTTCTGTTAAAGGTGGCTGCACCGGTCATAGTTGAGCCTATTACTCACATTTTTAACATGCCAGGCAGTTTTTGCCTCTGGGCGAACAAAGCTACCACCCATCTCCATTACGACCCTGGATGGAGTCTGGATCCAGTCAATTATAAATATCTGGGAATCTGGTTGGACAAAAACTTAAATTTTAAATACCATGTTGATTATCTTGCAAAGAAATTAAAATTCACAATGGGTTTTCTGTACAGGCTAAAGTCCTGTTTCTCCATGGCTTCATGAAAACGCTTAGTTGCTGGCCTTTTTCTGTCGCAGATTGAATATGGGGATACTATCTACAGGTTTGCCTCTCTGTTCACTTTGTCCAAACTTGATCCTCTTTATCACTCAGCTCTCAGATATGTTACTAACTCTAGTTTTAGGACTGTACAGATTGGAAGGATGGTAATCTCTTCACTTGCGCAGGCTTGAGCATTGGTATATTTTAATTTACAAGATAATTAAGAAAACTTCCAAATTATTTAAACAGACATTTTTAACCTTTCAAAGCCATCATAATCTCAGGTCACATAACTGTCTACAGTTCAAAGTGCCTGCTATCAGAACAGAGGCTGGAAAGCTAAGCCTGTTCTGTTATGGCCCCTGGTCTTGGAATGATGTGCAGATTAATAATAATAATAATAATAATCCTTATTTGTAGAGCACTTTTCAAAAACAAGTTAAAAGTGCTTAACAAGTGTAAAGACAATAATACAAAAAAACAAGATAAGAGCATGAAAAATTAATATAAAATTAGTAAAATAGAATAAAATAAAGGGATAAAATTACAGAATTCAATATAAAATCTGTCTCCTTACCCACCAGTGCATACATGGAACTGCCCCTGCCTACCTCAGTGAACTCCTCACCCCACTCACCACCTTAAGAAACCTCCGCTCCTCCACCTCTACCCACTGCCTGCACCAACCAAGGACTAAACTCTCCACCATGGGAGACAGGGCCTTCCAGGCAGTCGCCCCACGGCTCTGGAATGCCCTCCCAGAGCCCCTAAGGGCCCCACAAACTCTGGAGGTTTTTAAGAAGGGCCTAAAGACTTTTTTATTTCAAAAGGCCTTTTAACAGTCATGGTTTTAAATTTCTTGTTACGGTTTTTTATTGCGATTGTTATTTTCTGGAACTGTTTTTAACCCCTTGTTGTTGTAGCACTTTGAGATTTCCCTGAAATGTAAAGTGCATTATAAATAAAATGTATTATTATTATTATTATTATTATTATTATATAAAATAAAGTCAAATAAGATCGGAAAGGCTCTCCTATAAAAGTATGTTTTAAGAAGGGACTTAAAAGAGTTCACTGACTCAGCCGACCTGATTTCCTCGGGCAGGCTGTTCCAGAGCCTCGGGGCCCTGACAGCAAACGCTCTGTCCCCTTTAGTTTTCAGTCGAGACTCTGGAACAGACAACAGACCTCTGCCCGAGGATCTCAAGGTACGTGCTGGTGCGTATGGGACTAAAAGGTCAGAAATATAACAAGGCGAGAGGCCATCAAGAGCTTTAAAAGTGATCAATAGAAATTTAAAGTCAATTCTAAAACATACTGGGAGCCAGTGTAATGAAGCTAAAATAGGAGTAATGTGGTCATATTTCTTTGTTCTGGTTAAAAGCCTGGCAGCTGAATTCTGGACAGTCTGGAGTCCATCAATAGATTTTTGGGTTAAACAGGTGAAAAGGCTGTTGCAATAATCCAGGCGTGATGAGATGAAGACGTGTAAAATGGTCTCGGTGTCCTTAAAAGTTAACATAGATCGAATTTTTGCTATATTTCTAAGTTGATAAAAAAAAAAGCTCAAACTTCAATCAATTAAGCTCAAACTTCAATCAATTAAGCTCAAACTTCAATCCCTCTTCTCTCTAAATGATTTTAAACATAGAATAAAGGAGGTGGTCACTGCTAACTGCAGCTGCTTTGCCAATTCTATTAACTTCTTATTAAATCTATGATCAATTGTTGTTTTTGTGAACAGTACTATGTAGGGTATTATGTAATACCTAAATGTTGTTGTGCTGTGTCTCGGTGTTGTACAAAATGTTGTTGTGGAGACTTGTTTTGCAGTGTTTCCTGTTATACCTAATGATGTCTATGAAGATTCTCAGTCATCCAGGTCATAGTTATCCAATGAAGGTTAAAATGAAGGGCAACTGGACTTGGTTGAAGCTACTGGAAGACGTTTCGTCCCTCATCCAAAGGACTTCTTCAGTTCTGACTGACTGGCAGGGAAACTCAGCTATTTAACCTCAGTGGGGTCGTTTGCCAGGGTCATCGATACCGCTGGTTCGTTAGTGTTCCTTGTTGCTGTGACGACAGTCGTTACAGTCATACAGTCACTTGAAGGGGGCACTTACAGCCTGTGGATACCCTAAATGGACCTTTGTGAAAACAGCCACAAGATCCAAGAAGAACAAAACTACATGGGAGGAGGAAAAGAAGGTCAAACGCAACAACATTGTGATTCCATACGTGTCTGGAGTATCAGAGAAACTCAGGAGGATTTTCAACAAACATAACATCCCTGTGTTTTTTAAAGCCAAGAACACACTAAGAAAGATGCTGGTCCACCCCAAAGACCGCACACCCAAACACAAGAAAAGCAATCTAGTGTATGTGGTCCAATGCAGTGAGGAATGCACAGACCTGTATATTGGGGAGACTAAACAACCACGACACAAACGCATGGCTCAACACAGAAGGGCCAACTCCTCAGGTCAAGACTCTGCAGTCTACTTACATCTGAAGGACAGAGGACACTCGTTTGAGGACCACCAGGTGCACATTTTAGACAGAGAAGATGGATGGTTTGAAAGAGGTGTCAAGGAAGCATCTACACCAGGGTGGAGAAGCCGTCATTGAACAGGGGAGGGGGTGTACGCCACCACTTATCCCCCACTTACAATGCTGTCCTTTCATCACTTCCCAGGAAACTCAACAAACGTAACCTATTGGCCTCAGGTGAAGATACCAACGATGGTCGTTCAGTCTTGGCCACAGGTAGTCTTAACGACTGTCGTCACAGCAACCGGGAACACTAACGAACCAGCGGTATCGATGACCCGGGCCAACGACCCCACTGAGGTTAAATAGCTGAGTTTCCCTGCCAGTCAGTCAGAACTGAAGAAGTCCTTTGGATAAGGGACGAAACGTCTTCCAGTATCTTCAACCAAGTCCAGTTTCCCTTGATTTTAACCTTCGTTGGATATACCTAATGATGTTGTTGTGATTGGTTTCTTATTGTTGCTTGGTTATCTGTTTGATCCTGCTATCTGACCCTGTCTTGACTAGGTCTCACTTGTAAAAGAGGTTTTAACCTCAATGTGACTTTCCTAGTTAAATAAAGGTTATTGAAATTTAAATAGAGTATTTCTACAAATTTCACAGGACTGAAAGCTCTTAGTCAATCAATGAAAAAGTTAGTCGAGCAATAAAAACAAATCTACAAATTTAAGAATAATTGAATTGTTATTACTATATCATTGTAAATTTAATATATTTGAGTTATGGACTGTTGGTCGGACAAAACAACATTTGCCATATTGATATCTTATCTATAAATCCAATTATTTAACAATTTATTGAAAATATAACCATCAGTAGTTGGTAATGGAAATAATCATTAGCTAAAATCACATTCCAATGACCTTTCAGAGTGAGTCAAAGAACATCATATGTAGCAGTTTTTGCCATTCTACTGTACCATTGAGCCATTTGGAGTTGTGCCGTGCAGTCGCGAGACGTGGCATGCCACCCAGGCTGCGGTATATAACGGGGTCACGGCCAAAGAAGTCGATGACAGTGGCCGCATAAAGTTCTCCACTCTCTGTCACCACCGCCGTGGAGTTGTGACGAGGGTCATATGGGCAGCGTGCCACACCTTTCACCCGCTCCAGCACATTGCTCATGTTGCCCACCTGTGACGGGTGAAAACACAGGGCGATACAGAGATGGAGAGAAAAAGGTAGCAATGGGGAAAAAGGGATTAAATCTACAGTGTTCATTAAATTTCTACAAAACTACACACTTATGCGTACCTCTCTGCTAATACATAATGGCTGGAAAGCATTGGTCCCGCAGGTCATGATCTCAGTCTTGTTCACTAGCAGGACTCTGATGTAGTTCTGACATTCAGTCTGCAGAGAAGTGGGTGAAGAAGAAAGCTTTCAGAAAGTTACAGTGGAGCTAAGAAAAAGGGGATGGGGGATGCTAAGGTGGAAGGCTAAATATTCTTTGATGTGTTGCTGAGAAAAACAATGGCGGCTGTGGCTCAGGAGATAGAGTGGGTTAAATGAATCCACCCCTCCCAGTCATATTAATACTCACATTCCTCGAGGCACAGGCCGAGGAGGTGGAGTTGCAGCTATCTTCGACTCTAGCCTACTAATCAGCTCTAAACCTAAACTAAACTATAACTCATTTCAAAGCCTTGTTCTTGGTCTTTCGCACCCAAGTTGGAAATCACTGCAACCAATTCTCTTCGTTATAGTGTACCGAGCACCTGGCCCGTACTCTGAATTCTTATCTGAATTTGCAGAGTTTTTGTCAACTTTAGTCCTTAAAACGGACAAAGTTATTATTGTAGGGGATTTTAATATTCATGTGGACGTTGAGAATGACAGCTTCAGTACTGCGTTTATCTCTCTGTTAGATTCCATTGGCTTCTCTCAGAGTGTTCATGAACCGACTCACTGTTTTAACCACACCCTCGACCTTGTTTTGGTGTATGGTATTGTAATTGTTGTGGTGGCAGCCCGGCTGACGGTGAGTGTCCTGGTTTTTCCTCCTTTTTATCAGTTTTCTGCTTTTTCCCTTGGTTTCCTGTTCTCTGCCCGCCTCTCTGTGTTTTCTCCCCCGTGTGCTCTCTCTCCCTCTGCTCCTGAGCCCAGCCAACTACCTGCACCTGCAACCCATCATCCACCTCGTCAGCCTGCCACACCTGCCAGTAATCAACCTCATCCCAGCCTGTATTTCAACCCCGGTTCTCCACACCATCCTTGCTTGATCGTCGTTGCTCCATACCTGGTGCCACTCCTGTGTTCAGGCTTCCTCGTTTCTTGTTTTTTCAAACTTACCCTGTGCCTTGTCTTTGTCTCCCCCTAACCTTGTCTCTCTGTTTGTTTCCCTCCCAGGTACACTCACCCTCGTCCTCCGCTCGGCTGGGCTCATCCACTGGCCCACTCCCCTTCGGACCTCCCTCTCGGCGTCCTCCCTGTTCCCCTGCCTCTCCTCGCTTCCTTGGCCCGTGTTCCCCGGCTCCCTGGCCCCCGTTCTCCTTGGTTCCCCGTGCCAGTACTTCCCCGACGTCCAACTCTCCCTCCACTCCAGTCCCTCTCACCCTTTTTTCCCCCAATAAACCTCCTTCCCTCTGAACGCTGCATTTGGGTCCTCTCTGTCCACACACCACACCCCGTAACAGAACGATCAAGCCACCCATGGACCCAGCAGACTCTAAAGCGGAGAGGGACATGTTCTTGGATGTCTTGGCAGAGCTGTGGTCTACGTGGCAGTTGGCATCCGACCTCGAGTCTCGCCAAGCTGCCCACGTTCAGGCTCACTGGGAGATAGCTGTAAGGCCATGGCTGCGGCGTCGGCTGCCTAAGTGGGCCAGACATTTTGTTGACTCCAGCCCTCTGCCGTTCACACCTATCCCTCCTGATCCCCAACCGGCGAGCCCCCAATTTGGTCCAGATCCCCGGCCTGCCTGTCCCCCATATTCGCCCGACACCACGCTTGACCCCCGCCTTCAGTTCGAGGGAACCCGCCTGGCCATCTTCTCTGGGGGCCGTGGTGGCCTCCGGAGGAGACGTGACCATCGCGGCTCCCGCCAATTTGCACCACTCTCCCTAGATCCCCAGCCAGTTAGCCCCCAGCCTGGCCCAGTCCTTCAGCCTGCTAGCGCCGCTAGCCCCCAGCCTGGCCCAGTCCTTCAGCCTGCTAGCGCCGCTAGCCCCCAGCCTGGCCCAGTCCTTCAGCCTGCTAGCGCCGCTAGCCCCCAGCCTGGCCCAGTCCTTCAGCCTGCTAGCGCCGCTAGCCCCCAGCCTGGCCCAGTCCTTCAGCCTGCTAGCGCCGCTAGCCCCCAGCCTGGCTCAGTCCCTCAGCCTGCTAGCGCCGCTAGCCCCCAGCCTGGCTCAGTCCCTCAGCCTGCTAGCGCCGCTAGCCCCCAGCCTCTCCCTGATCCCCAACCTGCTAGCGCCGCCAGCCTCCAGCCTGGCCCCCCCGATCCCTTGCCCCTTAGGGCCACTAGTCCCCTTGCTCTGTTGACGGACGGACCGGCTTCAGCCCCGCCGGTGGCCCGGCCGACCCCTGCTCCCCGTATTCTGTTGGCGGACGGACCGGCTTCAGTCCCGCCGGTGGTCCGGCCGACCCCTGCTCCCCGTGTTCTGTTGGCGGACGGACCGGCTTCAGCCCCGCCGGTGGTCCGGCCGACCCCTGCTCCCCGTGTTCTGTTGGCGGACGGACCGGCTTCAGCCCCGCCGGTGGTCCGGCCGACCCCTGCTCCCCGTGTTCTGTTGGCGGACGGACCGGCTTCAGCCCCGCCGGTGGTCCGGCCGACCCCTGCTCCCCGTGTTCTGTTGGCGGACGGACCGGCTTCAGCCCCGCCGGTGGTCCGGCCGACCCCTGCTCCCCGTGTTCTGTTGGCGGACGGACCGGCTTCAGCCCCGCCGGTGGTCCGGCCGACCCCTGTTCCCCGTGTCCTGTTGGCGGACGGACCGGCTTTAGCCCCGCCGGTGGTCCGGCCGACCCCTGCTCCTCGTGTTCTGTTGGCGGACGGACCGGCTTCAGTCCCGCCGGTGGTCCGGCCGACCCCTGCTCCTCGTGTTCTGTTGGCGGACGGACCGGCTTCAGCCCCGCCGGTGGTCCGGCCGACCCCTGCTCCTCGTGTTCTGTTGGCGGGTGGACCAGCAGCCCCATCCCTGACTCCCCCCGCTGCTGTCACGCTGCCAGCCCCTAGCCTTGCTCCCCGGCCTCTGGAGAGGTCGTCTCGCCCCCTAGCCCGCCCTTCGGGCCGCCCGCCCGAACTCTCTGGCTTGTCTCGCCTGGCTCCCCGGCCTCTGGAGAGGTCGCCGCGCCCGGCTCCCCGGCCGCCACGCCCGGCTCCCCGCCCGGCTCCCCGGCCTCTGGAGAGGTCGCCGCGCCCGGCTCCCCGGCCGCCACGCCCGGCTCCCCGGCCGCCACGCCCGGCTCCCCGGCCGGCTCCCCGGCCTCTGGAGAGGTCGCCGCGCCCGGCTCCCCGGCCTCTGGAGAGGTCATTTTGTCCCTTAGCCCAGCCCTCGGGCCGCCCGGCGGACCCTCCTGGCTCCCCTGGTCCGCCCTCTGGCTCCCCTGGTCCGCCCTCGGGCCGCCCACCGAGCTCCCCTGGTCCGCCGGACCCTCCTGGCTCCCCTGGTCCGCCGGACCCTCCTGGCTCCCCTGGTCCGCCGGACCCTCCTGGCTCCCCTGGTCCGCCCTCGGGCCGCCCGCCGGACCCTCCTGGCTCCCCTGGTCCGCCCTCGGGCCGCCCGCCGGACCCTCCTGGCTCCCCTGGTCCGCCCTCGGGCCGCCCTGGTCCGCCCTCGGGCCGCCCGCCGGACCCTCCTGGCTCCCCTGGTCCGCCCTCGGGCCGCCCGCCGGACCCTCCTGGCTCCCCTGGTCCGCCCTCGGGCTCCCCTGGTCCGCCCTCGGGCCGCCCGCCGGACCCTCCTGGCTCCCCTGGTCCGCCCTCGGGCTCCCCTGGTCCGCCCTCGGGCCGCCCGCCGGACCCTCCTGGCTCCCCTGGTCCGCCCTCTGGCTCCCCTGGTCCGCCCTCGGGCCGCCCGCCGGACCCTCCTGGCTCCCCTGGTCCGCCGGACCCTCCTGGCTCCCCTGGTCCGCCCTCGGGCCGCCCGCCGGACCCTCCTGGCTCCCCTGGTCCGCCGGACCCTCCTGGCTCCCCTGGTCCGCCGGACCCTCCTGGCTCCCCTGGTCCGCCGGACCCTCCTGGCTCCCCTGGTCCGCCGGACCCTCCTGGCTTCCCTGGTCCGCCCTCGGGCCGCCCGCCGGGCTTCCCTGGTCCGCCCTCGGGCCGCCCGCCGGGCTCCCCTGGTCCGCCCTCGGGCCGCCCGCCGGACCCCCCTGGCTTCCCTGGTCCGCCCTCTGGCTCCCCTGGTCCGCCCGCCGGGCCCCCCTGGCCCGCCCTCGGGCCGCCCGCCGGACCCCCCTGGCTTCCCTGGTCCGCCCTCTGGCTCCCCTGGTCCGCCCTCGGGCCGCCCGCCGGACCCTCCTGGCTCCCCTGGTCTGCCCTCGGGCTCCCCTGTCCCGCCGGACCCTCCTGGCTCCCCTGGTCTGCCCTCGGGCTCCCCTGTCCCGCCGGACCCTCCTGGCTCTCCTGCTCTGCATTCGACTTGCCCCCCTGAACTTCCTGGCTCCCCCTGTCCGCCCTCGGGCTGCCTGTCGGACCAACCCTGCTCCTCTGAACTTCCTGGCTCCCCCTGTCCGCCCTCGGGCTGCCCGTCGGACCAACCTGACCCCCCTGAACCCCTTGGTCCCTCTGTTTCGCCCTCGGGACGTCCGCCCGGACCCCTTGGTCCCTCTGTTCCGCCCTCGGGACGCCCGCCCGAACCCCTTGGTCCCTCTGTTCCGCCCTCGGGACGTCCGCCCGAACCCCTTGGTCCCTCTGTTCCGCCCTCGGGACGTCCGCCCGAACCCCTTGGTCCCCCTGTTCCGCCCGAACCCCTTGGTCCCCCTGTTCCGCCCGAACCCCTTGGTCCCTCTGTTCCGCCCTCGGGACGTCCGCCCGAACCCCCTGGTTCCCCAGCTCCGCCCTCTGGCACCCCGTCTGAACCCCCTGGTCCCCCAGCTCCGCCCTCTGGCACCCTGTCTGAACCCCCTGGTCCCCCAGCGCTACCCTCTGGCACCCTGTCTAGCCCTGAGCTTCCAGTTCTGCCCTGCCTGTTCCCCTAACTCTTCCCTGTCCTGAAGCCCTCCCTGTATTCCCAGTTTGGTTTTGGACCCTGGACCCCCATCAGCCGGACCCCAGTACGACATCTTCCCCCCGCGTTCGCCTGCCGAACCCCCTGTCCTACAGGAAGGCCGCCGGGAGGCGTCCATTGAGGAGGGGGCCCTGTTGTGGTGGCAGCCCGGCTGACGGTGAGTGTCCTGGTTTTTCCTCCTTTTTATCAGTTTTCTGCTTTTTCCCTTGGTTTCCTGTTCTCTGCCCGCCTCTCTGTGTTTTCTCCCCGTGTGCTCTCTCTCCCTCTGCTCCTGAGCCCAGCCAACTACCTGCACCTGCAACCCATCATCCACCTCGTCAGCCTGCCACACCTGCCAGTAATCAACCTCATCCCAGCCTGTATTTCAACCCCGGTTCTCCACACCATCCTTGCTTGATCGTCGTTGCTCCATACCTGGTGCCACTCCTGTGTTCAGGCTTCCTCGTTTCTTGTTTTTTCAAACTTACCCTGTGCCTTGTCTTTGTCTCCCCCTAACCTTGTCTCTCTGTTTGTTTCCCTCCCAGGTACACTCACCCTCGTCCTCCGCTCGGCTGGGCTCATCCACTGGCCCACTCCCCTTCGGACCTCCCTCTCGGCGTCCTCCCTGTTCCCCTGCCTCTCCTCGCTTCCTTGGCCCGTGTTCCCCGGCTCCCTGGCCCCCGTTCTCCTTGGTTCCCCGTGCCAGTACTTCCCCGACGTCCAACTCTCCCTCCACTCCAGTCCCTCTCACCCTTTTTTCCCCCAATAAACCTCCTTCCCTCTGAACGCTGCATTTGGGTCCTCTCTGTCCACACACCACACCCCCGTAACAGTAATTGAACATTTAGTGGTGTTCCCTACAGAATCCCTCTTTATACTGAAACTCGCAAATTAAAGCAAATATCGTGGAAACTTGAGAGGAATTGGCGTTCCACCAAACTGGAAAATTCTCGTTTAATTTGGCAAGATAGTCTTAAAACTTATAGGAAGGCCCTCCGTAATGCCAGAGCAGCGTACTACTCGTCATTAATAGAGCTTCTTTAATGATAAAATTCTAACTATTAGAAACAAAATTCACCAAGACCTGCCCTCAACTGGCACCAACTTATCTCTAAACTCAGGAACCTTAGAAACAGCTGTAGAACCAGATATATGTTTAGACTGTTTTGCTTCCCTCAATCTTTACCAACTAACTTCAATTATTTCTTCATCTAAACCATCAACCTGCCTCTTAGACCCCATCCCGACTAGGTTGCTTAAAGATGTTTTACCCTTAGTCAGCACTTATATACTAGATATAATCAATCTATCTTTATCAACAGGCTATTTACCACAGTACTTTAAAGTAGCTGTAATTAAACCTCTTCTGAAAAAGGCCAAACTTGATCCAGATGTTTTAGCCAACTATAGCCCTATATCTAACCTTCCATTTCTCTCTAAGGTTCTGGAGAAAGCAGTTGCTAAACAGCTGTGTGACTTTCTACAGAGCAATAGTTTATTTGAGGATTTTCAGTCAGGATTTAGAGCTCATCATAGCACAGAGACAGCACTGGTGAAAATTACTAACGACCTCCTTATTGCATCAGACAAAGGACTTGTCTCTGTACTGGTTTTATTAGATCTCAGTGCTGCATTTGATACCATTGACCATCAGATCCTATTGCAGAGACTGGAATATTTCATTGGCATTAAAGGAACCGCTCTAAGCTGGTTTAAGTCCTATTTATCAGATCGATTTCAGTTTGTACATGTTAACGATGAGTCCTCCATGCATGCCAAAGTTAGTCATGGAGTTCCACAAGGATCTGTCCTCGGACCAATCCTCTTCACTTATATATGCTTCTTTAGGCAATATTATCAGGAAATATTCCATAAACTTTCATTGTTATGCAGATGATACTCAGTTATATCTATCGATCAAACCAGATGAAACTCATCAGTTAGCTAAACTTCAAATGTGCCTTCAGGATGTTAAAACCTGGATGACCTGTAATTTTCTAATGTTAAACTCAGATAAAACTGAAGTTATTGTTCTGGGGCCTAAGCACCTCCGTGACGCATTATCTAAAGATATAGTTTCCCTTGATGGCATCGCCCTGGCCTCCAGCACCACTGTGAGGAATCTTGGAGTTATCTTTGATCAGGACATGTCGTTTAAGTCTCACATTAAGCAAATTTCAAGGACCGCCTTTTTTCACCTACGTAATATTGCGAAAATCAGGAACATCCTGTCTAAAAATGATGCAGAAGAACTAGTCCATGCATTTATTACTTCTAGGCTGGATTACTGCAATTCCTTATTATCAGGCTGCTCGAAAAAGTCCATTAAGACTCCAGAATGCTGCAGCACATGTTCTGACAGGAACCAGGAAAAGAGATCACATTTCTCCTGTCTTAGCTTCTCTGCATTGGCTTCCAGTAAAATCCAGAATAGAATTTAAAATCATTCTTCTTACCAACAAAGCTCTTAATGGTCAGGCACCATCTTATCTTAAAGAGCTCATAGTACCTTACTACCCCACCAGAGCACTGCGCTCCCAGAATGCAGGGTTACTTGTGGTTCCTAGAGTCTCCAAAAGTAGACTAGGAGCCAGAGCGTTCAGCTATCAAGCTCCTCTCCTGTGGAACCAGGTTCCAGTTTGGGTTCAGGAGGCAGACACCATCTCCACATTTAAGAGTAGGCTTAAGACTTTCCTCTTTGATAAAGCTTATAGTTAGGGCTGGCTCAGGTGAGTCCTGAACCATCCCTTAGTTATGCTGCTATAGGCCTAGACTGCCGGGGGATTTCCCATGATGCACTGAGCTCCTCTCTCCTCTACTTTCTCTCCCTCTGTATGCAACCTCATCCCATTATTGCATGTTACTAACACAACTTCTCCCCTTTCCGGTAGTCTTGTGCTTTCTCGTCTCTCCTCTCTCCTCCTATCACTTCCTGCAGGTTTTCTGGCTCTGGAGCTGTGGAGTCTGGATCTGTGGTTGCGGGTCACCTGCTGCCCCCGTGTTCCTGCTCGACACCCTCTGCTGCAACAACTATTGTTACTAGTCCTATTGTTACTATTGTAATTATAATCATTAACATTATGACTGTTACCATTAACACTATTATAAATATCTGTACCATTTTTCATTTAGTCTATAGTAACATCACCTTTACTGTCTGTACCTCTGTGTGTGGATATTGTATAGGCTGCCGCTGCCCCTCTCTCTCTCTCTCTCTCTCTCTCTCTCTCTCACCCCAACCGGTCGAGGCAGATGGCCGCCCACCCTGAGCCATGGTTCTGCTCGAACTTTCTGCCTCTTAAAAGGAAGTTTTTCCTTGCCTCTGTCTCCTAGTGCTGCTCTTGGTGGGAACTGTTGGGCTTCTGATCATCACAGAGTACGGTCTAGACCTGCTCGTTTATGAAAAGCGCTGTGAGATAACTGTTGTTGTGATTTAGTGTTATATAAATAAAATTGAATTGAATTGAATCTCCTCACTGCAAGAAAAACAACTCTTGATTGAAGAGTCTGAAATAGCTGTTCTGTACAGAGCACTCCCATGAGGCCCATAAGGACCTTGCCACAACAGCCAGTAGATATCAAAACGACCTCTCTGTAAACCAGGCACCACTGACACAAAGTGTTGTAATTGGGGCGGGATTGAGGTTACCTCTGTTTTGCCTGTGCTCAGACAGGACCTCCGGGTCTCCTCGTCCGGTGCCCATTCTGTCGCCTAGGAAACAAAAACAAGAAAAAGGCCAGGCATGACAAAGAGGCCGAAAAGCAGTCACTGAGTCCAGAACAGTTATGCAACAACTGACTGTTGCTAATACTGTAGGCACGCACGAAAGATGCATGAAAAGACTTTAACCTCATTGCAGTTTGTTTATTGTGGAAACATAGTGACCAGCTTGCCAGCCTTGCTTATTCAGGGGTACCCAACAAAGCTGCTGAAGGGCTGTGGACGGCATTACGGGGCGGCTGTGGCTCAGGAGGTGGAGCGGGTTGGCCGTTAATCGGAACGTCGGCGGTTCAATCCCTGGCTCCCCCTGGTTGCGTGTCGAGGTGTCCTTGGGCAAGATACTGAACCCCGATTTGCCCCTGGCGGCTGTTCCGCCAGTGTATGAATGAGTGTGAATGCTAGTTTCCGTTTGAGCACTTAGGCTCAGTGTATGAATGTGTATAACTGGTGAATGCAGATGTAGTGTAAAAGTGCTTTGAGTGGTCGAAAAGACTAGAAAGGTGCTATACAAATATGGAGCATTTACATTAGCATGTAAATGGCTTTCTCTCTATGTAGAAATAAATACAGAAATAAGTAAATGCTCAATAAATAAATAAGCATCCAATTAAATACACAAAAAAATAAAGTAAATAAATAAATGTAGGTAGTAATTAAATTATACAAGGAGACATAAATGTATATATTTTAATTAGCGCCTTTACTTATTCACCTTTGTAATAATTACCTTATTTATTTATTATCCGTTATAATTTTTACTTTATTTATTAATTACTTATTTTTTAAATGTATTTATTTATGTGTGTGTTTTAATATTTTTGTTTTTGTGTATTTAATTGGATGCTTATTTATTTATTGAGCATTTATTTATTTCTGTATTTATTTCTGACTGTGTCAGGATCGGTCCTCCATAGCTTGGTGGGAGAGTTATCAAGCACGTAAAGTTTGGTTCAGATGTGAGCATGTACATGAAGTTACAACAACCTCCGTGACGCATTATCTAAAGATATAGTTTCCCTGGATGGCATCGCCTTGGCCTCCAGCACCACTGTGAGGAATCTTGGAGTTATCTTTGATCAGGACATGTCGTTTAAGTCCCACATTAAGCAAATTTCAAGGACCGCCTTTTTTCACCTACGTAATATTGCGAAAATCAGGAACATCCTGTCTAAAAATGATGCAGAAAAACTAGTCCATGCATTTGTTACTTCTAGGCTGGATTACTGCAATTCCTTATTATCAGGCTGCTCGAAAAAGTCCATTAAGACTCTTCAGCTGATCCAGAATGCTGCAGCACGTGTTCTGACAGGAACCAGGAAAAGAGATCACATTTCTCCTGTTTTAGCTTCTTTGCATTGGCTTCCAGTAAAATCCAGAATAGAATTTAAAATCATTCTTCTTACCTACAAAGCTCTTAATGGTCAGGCACCATCTTATCTTAAAGAGCTCATAGTACCTTACTACCCCACCAGAGCACTGCGCTCCCAGAATGCAGGGTTACTTGTGGTTCCTAGAGTCTCCAAAAGTAGACTAGGAGCCAGAGCGTTCAGCTATCAAGCTCCTCTCCTGTGGAACCAGGTTCCAGTTTGGGTTCAGGAGGCAGACACCATCTCCACATTTAAGAGTAGGCTTAAGACTTTCCTCTTTGATAAAGCTTATAGTTAGGGCTGGCTCAGGTAGTCCTGAACCATCCCTTAGTTATGCTGCTATAGGCCTAGACTGCCGGGGGATTTCCCATGATGCACTGAGCTCCTCTCTCCTCTACTTTCTCTCCCTCTGTATGCAACCTTATCCCATTATTGCATGTTACTAACACAACTTCTCCCCTTTCTGGTAGTCTTGTGCTTTCTCGTCCCTCTCCTCTCTCCTCCTATCACTTCCTGCAGGTTTTCTGGCTCTGGAGCTGTGGAGTCTGGATCTGTGGCTGCGGGTCGCCTGCTGCCCCCGTGTTCCTGCTCGACACCCTCTACTGCAACGACTATTGTTGCTAGTCTTATTGTTATTATAATCATTAACATTACGATGGTTACCATTAACACTATTATAAATATCTGTACCATTTTTCATTTAGTTTATAGCAACATTACCTTCGCTGTCTGTACCTCTGTGTGTATATTGTGTAGGCTGCCTCCCTCCCCTCTCTCTCTCTCCTTACATCCCTCTCTCTCTCTCTCTCTCTCTCTTTCTCTCTCTCTCTCTCTTTCACTCTCTTTCTCTCTCTCTTTCTCTCTCTCTCTCTCTCTCACCCCAACCGGTCGAGGCAGATGGCCGCCCACCCTGAGCCATGGTTCTGCTCGAGGTTTCTGCCTCTTAAAAGGAAGTTTTTCCTTGCCTCTGTCGCCTAGTGCTTGCTCTTGGTGGGAACTGTTGGGCTTCTGTAAATATCATCACAGAGTACGGTCTAGACCTGCTCTTTTATGAAAAGCGCTGTGAGATAACTGTTGTTGTGATTTGGCGCTATATAAATAAAATTGAATTGAATTGAATTGAATTGAATTGAATTGAACAACTTCCTGTGTCATGGCAAAGAGTTGATCTTTGACGCCACGCCACGGACACGTCCATTGACGAAAACTCGCAAATAGCACAACTTTTCATCTTCAATGCCTTTAGAAGGAACAGCAGAAATTTGAGGTCGGTCGGACTAAATCCCTAGGAGGAGTTCGTTAAAGTACGAAGTGTGTAAATCATCCAAAATTTGACGTAAAATTCAAAATGGCCGACTTCCTGTTGGGTTTAGGCTATGACTTTTTTGTGCGTCTTGATATGATACATGTCCTTTGCCTTGCTAGGGAAAAAAAGAAGCTGGTATATGAGTGTCGCATCTTCATCTATTCAGTGCCGATCTGACGAGGAGACGCCAGAACTTTGATCCTGTCAAGGGCAAGCTCTGTCAATCCAATATGAAGTACTTTCTCCGGTTGTACGCTGTGTGTTATTGTTGATGGCAAACAGGAGTGTTTCAGCTGCCACAAAGACGCTGAAGCTGCCTTCAGGTCCACTTCAACTTCTCCAGTCTCAAGTTACCTGATGAGGTGAGGCCCCCCCTTTATAATAAGTTACAGCACGGCTGTAATGTTTCTTGAGCTGTTGTTGACACTCTTCTTGTGTTATAGTTAGATGTTGTTAGATGCAACATATGATCGCTCTCAGTTGTTTGTTTACATCTTGCTGTCGCAAGCTGATGCGTCATGCTTTTCCTTTTTTCCCCATTGTGAGGGACCAGGCAGTTAAGCATGAGGAGTCAAGAGGGAAATTTAAAGAAAAAGGGTTTTATTTACCAAAAAATCCTTACAACAAAAGATAAAAGTTTTGGGCCCATAAAAGAGGTCAAATAAACAAACAATAACTAAAGCTGTGAACAAAAGAGACTCAAAAATACAACTGACCTACTATACAACAAACAAAGGGGACTTATATATTGGCTGATCAGACCAGTTTTGACACACAGGGGAAGACTAACAACAACAAAACTTATGTAAAAACATATTCCACAAGAAATGTACATTTACTTAACCTTAACTCAAAAATACTCAAATATAATGTAAATCTAATCCCCAAAATATTTAAGGAGAGAATATAGCCACCCCCCAGACATAGCAAGCAGTGGTAGTGTCCAATTAGGCCACCTCTCCTATAAAGCTGCTCCTGCTCCGAGCACCAACCCTTTAAGCCAGCAGACTTCCTGGATCTCTCCTGGGTGTGGCATCTAACACTGGTAAGCGCTCTTCATCTGGTTGTGAGGCCACGGCTGTGGCCACCACACCCATCCACTTGTGTGGCGGAGCCTCCTAGCATATGATTACTACTGCCCCCCTACCGATTTAGTTTAAATGCTGCCTGTGAGGTATCTCCTTTCTTTGCGTTACACTCCTTTATTTCATATTAATGCAAATTGAGCCTTGAACTTAATAGATGTTCTTTACCCGCATAGTTTTGTTTACTCACAGAAATACTCCGGAATATGGTGTCTGGGGTTGCTGGGTCTTTCTTGAAGGGTGCTGTTGTTTTGTGTTTATTTTTGTATGTGGGTTTATGTTTTGTGTGCTTTTGTTTTACTGTAGTAAATTAATCTTGCATCTAACTACTTTTAAACTTATGTTCAAGCAGTGAAAGTAGTAACACTACCGGTGATGATGCTAAAGAATTAAATTGTGCATTTAAATATTAGGAGTCTTAACCCTAAAATTTACTTATTTTGTGCATGGGTTGTATTACATAAACCTAACATCATCACTCTTTCTGAAACATGGCTTAACAGTAATATATCAGATACTGAAATTAATCTTCCAATTTATACCTTACATAGTGTAGTGAACAATGGTGTGGATTTGTGCATATTACATTGAATAAATTTGGAGCTACCATTGGCATCTCCCTGAACCTGGCCCCCCCACACATGTGTCCGTGGCAAATTACCTTATTCTTTGTTTTATTACCACATCAAAGGGATACTCCTTGTCTCACCTAAGTGTGACATAATCCAGGACAGCCGAACTTTCAATGTAAAAGGGACTGCAGTCTCCAAAGACTCAAAGAATTTAATTAAGTTTAATTTAATCTTTAGTTACCTGATTAAGTTTGCCTCTATTTGAGTAGTTACGTATGCTAACTGTTGTTGCTATCCGTTGTTGATATTAGTGCTGAAAAGAAAGTTACTTGTGCAGTGTTTTTATTTTCAGCAAGACACTCCTTCATCTAATGTAATCCAAGCTTTCCTCATGTAGCCTGAGCTCCCCCAAGTGGACGAAGTAAGTATTACATGCCCTTGTCGGAAATGCCGTTAAATGTATAAATATCCTGAACAATAATGTGACAATTGTTTCCTGTTACCAGACGCCTAGGACAGTACAACCGTTCGACCATTGAGGTTCGATTGTGGAAAATATTTGATTATAATACGTGCAAATAGATTAAGTTTAGAAATGCAGTCCCTTGGGAAACCTGAGACGCCCCCTGGGGAACCACGCCCCAGGCAACAAAAGAGTGAC